TGAATAACTTCTCTCTGGTCGTGTAGTGGTCTATTGGAAGTTCTCTTGAGGTTTCTACAACGCACTTCGCTTGTCTTGGTAACCTTACATATCAATTTCTCTCCTTTGTGATTGGAATAGTCACTGTTGAGTGCCTGGGGTTGCCAGCCGCGTCAAGAGAAAGAAAACACACCGGCTCAGTACACAAGCATTCTATTCCCATGTCTGAGATTATGTACAATTTCCTTCGCCCCAGATTTCAGCCACCATCACATCCTTTCCCTTTTCTTTTTTCGCAGTTTGTGTTGCCTTTTCCATATCCTCGTCCCCTGCGGGCGAGGTTCCTGTCTAACGGAGTGGTAGTCGCCGTAAGGTTAGGTTGCGTTGGAAAGTTAGCTACTTTTAACAACTTTCTTCGCCTCCGACTGAAGTAACGCTGAATCGAACCTGTCCCAATTTCAGTAGACAGCGGTTTTTTTGCTTCCAGTATCATCAAGCGAGGATTCTCATACGTCTCCTTGACACTGCTAGGTCGTTTCTCTATTTTATTTTCCGTTTTTACAACAATGTATCCTTTCGGCTGCACGCTCGGTCCGTTTGACCCTTTGAAGCGACTGTGTGTTGTACTGCACTCTATTCCCATGCATCTTTCCAAGGGTAGCATGCTGTCAGTGGTTCTCGAATCAGGTTGTCATAATGCTGGTCATTTTTATGTTAACGGCTTTGGAAAGAGGCACTCTTGTTCTCTGAGGCCGCCTGAGTACTTTATTGGGCTTGCTGATATTCTGTCCACTAAACAGGCATCTACCAACTGGTTGCAAGTAGCAAGAAAGGTTAATCGACAATAATCCTCAAATCTCTCGATTATTTGCGAAAAATCATCACTCCATCATAGTCACAGAAATTCTACGCCTCCATTATATGCCACGCTTCATGGCCGATAGCGTGCCAGAACTTGGACATCTGGCGTGGCCTCGGATATTCATCCAACTGGATCAACACTGCGGATTCCATCCAATTCGCTTTCCGCGTTTTCTAGTTTTCAGGTAGCATGCTTTCCGTCATCTGTAGAGCAATCGGCAAAGGGATCGACGACTGTCCACCAAAACCGAGCAGGGTCGGGCGAGTCAGCTTCTCTTCTGTCACCATGTTGCGTGCCTGGGTCTGCCAGCCGCATCAAGAGAAAGAAAGCACACCGGCTCAGCACTTAACCGTTCTATGCATAAGTCTGAGGTTATTTACAATTTGCTGTTTTTAAAATCTCACTCGCCCACTTACTCGACCGCACTGAGGCAGACAATTTCTTTCGCCCCAGGTTTCAGCCACCATCACAGTCATGAATGAATTTCTTACTTATCCCCGATTATACTAACGCAGAAGTTCTGTTGGCTGACCGACTATTGAACTTGTAGTTTGCTGATTACATTTTTGTGGATCAAGCGCTCCACGCTCCGGCATGCACCTCTATCTTCAAAGTGACCGGGCCGACACAATATCAGTTTTTCCAGTCATAAAACGACCACTGTCGGTTGTTACTTATTTCTTGTGATCGCATCACCGCACACGTTAGTAATACTGGTGTTATCTTCCTAGGTCCCCATTACTTAGAGACTGCAGAGTTTACAACATTACAGCTTTGTCGTTACTGCATGCGCTATAAACCTGACCACGGCGGACTGAACCTAATAACAGGCAAGCTGTGTTCAACCGTCGCTTCTTACGTAATACCGCACTGAAGTACGTCATTTCGTGCCTGGCGACGGACCGTTTGTCGTCTCCTTTGACCGACGTGACAAACAAGACGAGAACACTCACTGAAAGGCTGTGTCTGGTCGGTACTAGACGCCTCCGTAGATGGGGACTTTGGCATTGGCTGTATCAACGCTCGAATATCCCATCGAATTTAGCACATTCGCGGATTTTGTGACACTTTTCCACTCGTTCCTTTATTACTAACTCTCAGCTCTCCATCTGGTGATTTTGTTTCTTCCCGAGTTGGCTTGAAGTATCCTCCTTATTAAAAGGCATCACAGCAACACCGACGCTTCGCTGCCGCGCAACCACCACCAGTCGCGTTAGGCCTAAGGATAATGCGAGGGTTGCCCGGTCCCTACGCAGGCTCGAACCCGCGCCCTCGGATTGCAAGGCAGACTTGTGATCCTTAAGGCTACGGGCCGTCCATTAGTATTAAACCCGCCACAATTTGGCGACATACCTCGAGGTAACTTGCTCCAGCGCGTTTCATTGCACAGACCATACCTCACTAACTGAACTCTTTTATTAGATGGCGTTGGTTTTGGCAAGCCCGGGAATCCGTGGTGCGTTCGTTTCGGCATTTGGATCACAATCTCTTCCCTTTGCCGCATTCTATGCTCTGGCGATATCCCAGCCCGCGTACAATCGCCAACGGTCGCATGGTTGTGAGGCGTCTATGCGCAGCACCAGTGTACTGCTATATCGGCCTCTATTTGGTTGTGAGATCGTCGGTGACTACACACTGTACGTTTGTTTTGCCCTCCATCCTCAGGTCCGCACATCCAACTTCGGGTTTTGTTCACTGGGCGCTGTACTCATCGGCCACAGTTGCGTGGCAGCCACCCGCCCGTCCCTGGCGGGTTGCGCGTTTGTAGTGTGTCGTACTTATTACCGGGGAAATTGCTTATGATGTGTGGCAGCGGACGCTTTAACTGTGCTATCTCATCGATGTCGTCTTATTTTCACACAACAGCCAACGGTTTGTAACGGTACAGTGTGCACAAAGTGTGTGCCAGCCCGTAGCTTTAAGGAGCATAAGCCTGCCTTGTAATCCGAGAGTACGGGTTCGAACCTGCTTAGGGACCGGGCAGCCCTCGCGGTATCCTTGGCCCATGTGCGACTGGAGATGGTTGCGCGGCAGCGAAGCCTCGGTACTGCGTACCAACATACTTCTAATGCCATTTTGCACCAGGGGTACTCGCCTTGATGTCTATGGGATGGGTTTGGATCCGCATTCCTACCCTTTATTCATTACTAACAGGGTCGCGTCTGTTACTTCGCGGTTACTTGGCGACAAAATATCAGCGCAAGTACTATTTTACCACGACTGCTACTAAGGAAAAACAAGTGCGGTCATTCAAGAAACAGACGTCGCGGGCAATGAGGACTGTGTTGCCAGTGAAAAGAGTAATACAAATTGTGCCCACCCCTCAGTTTTTTTCTTTCTGCGCAGTTTTTCAACAGTGGCTTGCAAAAGCTTACGTACATTAAATATTAACTAATCTGCTGCATCCGGTTTCTCGTCATAAATTTTTCCTAGTTTCAGGCCACCGCAACTAAGGACACGGAATCATGATAACTAAACAAGGGGTTAGCAATACCTCGTCTTGTTTCTTGGCACTAGGTTGAGCACTGCGTGTTTGCGTGACATGCGCAGAACGTGACCTCGCCACCCAGCTGAATACAAACAAACAACGTGCTCATGTTTCATGATATACCATATCTTGCTTCACCACTGCAAGTTCTCTCAGGCACACATCGGGACCCGAAGGTTAAGGTACTTCAACCTAACGAATTGGCACTACTTCGCAGTTGGTGTTTTAGATCCTACTCACTAACGCGCAGAGTCGTAGCGGTAAGGCCACCATTGTCTTGAATTTACAGACTTACGGAACTTTGGCTGCATTAAAGGTGACTTCACACTAATGCTGCTGGTAAAAGTCGCCCATTTTTTCTAATTGTACCCTCGAGCTTGAGTGCAGGAATAGACGGTTACCTGTCCTGGGCAGGTAATTCTTTCTCCCAGAGAGCAAGGAACATGTCATGTGCAGACGTTTCGTTTCTTAAACTATTCATGATGGGTCCGCCTTCCATTATATTGAACACTTGATTCATTCCATGCTCTCGGCTCGGTTTGCGACATTATACGCAATGCCACTGCAAGCTGCACAGAGACTCCTCGATTTGAATTCGAATTATTTTTCGACCAACTCAGCCGTCATTCGCACAGTTTTCTCAAGTGTTCGTTAGGAAATGTAAGGACTGCCCTCGACTTTTTACTTCTCATGAGCATTGCTAGTAGGGAAACTCTCAAACAGTCGATCGGTGAATCCTATATCGACCGGAAGACAACCTTTTCCCTAAAATTCCGCGGAATATTTATATTTGTCTATCAGGAGACATTCTCGAACCATGTAATGCTATTATTGATAAGTAAAAATGCGACTACGGAGAACACTCATGAGGGTCACTGAGATCACATAAATATCACTGGTCTGCGCCACGTCACTGCTTTGTAATTTGCAGCTATTAAACTGTCGACAGAAGCCTCGTCTTCTGATCAGCCAATTAGAGCGGTCGGCTTCCAGATAACCAGTCCGTGCGATCTTGGGAACTATACCACGCAGCTGTTTCGATTTTGATGAAACCACCTGTGCGCGAATTATTTCATCCGTCTGGATGCAGCGTTGCTGGCTGCCTGACGCTAAATCGTGGCTTCTTGAAACACTGCTCCCGCGCTGTCCTCTACCTGGATAATCCCGAACCACCCCCTCGGTACCATGAAAAAAATGCAGTTTGCAGAATCGGCCGTAAATATTTCCTATGCAGTGGTCGATACTGCAGCCAGCTTATGTTCGTATTCGACCTCTGTTGTATGGGCTTCAAAGCGCACATGGTATCACTGGTCCTCGGTTGCTATATCGTGGTCGATCCACTCATAGGTGCGGATGGGAGTAACGCTATCAATTTTGCTATCTTCACTACCTTTGGGACATAGAGTAGAAAGGTGATTGCTTTGCATATGTCTTTGACTACCATGAGAACTTGTATTCTGGTGGCCCATGAGAAGCCACTAATGGGGAAACCGATTTCGCTCCCAGTGCCCAAACATATTGGTCCTAATGATTGGATGCAATTGTGTAATACCTTTGTCTTGTACAGAAGTATACCCTGTGATGCCCTACGCACATTCTACTCATTCCTCTTACTGTTGCTGCATCGTGAGCTTCTAATTAATCGCCATCTATTATCCGTATTTATTCCAGTTGATTCTGCGGCTACCACTGTGCCACATACAACCGGAGTTTGCCCTCCGCAGTGTGCCTCTGCTCTGGTTGTCCTGACCGACCGTGAATTGGTCGCAATTGATCTGAGACAACCAAATTGGCCGGTCTTTGCTTCTCCTTATTTGAATTGCCTGGACATATCACCAATCACAGCTGTGAACCATCTCTCCAAAGTCAGTTGCAGCGAACCATTGCTGTGGTGATTACTTCGTTTCTCTTGATCAACTTCTGCTGTCCATTGTTCCCGCTCTTGATCAGTCTGCTAGTGATCAACCAACCCAGATGCACTAAATTAATTCAAGTCGGCACTATGAAACTGAGTAGCATACCAGGTGTATTTTTCATTATCCCATTACTTAACTTTATCTGTGACTTAACTTTTCAATTGTACCTGGTCGACGATTAACTGTTCTTTACTTTGATTAATTCGCCACCGTTACTTTTCTTGGCTCGGACTTGATTACCTTGCAATCTTACTCCGACGTATAGGTTAGCACGCAGCGGCAAACTTTGTTCGCTATTCTGGACATGGCTTCATCGCTATGCGCGTACTTGTTCTTTTAATAAGAATTACTCGTTTTTGTTCCTTCCCTCGCGAATTCCATTGGCCACAAGGCCCCTGCACCTGCTTGTACTAGCCTACCTACCTAAACCTAGACTAGGTTCACGAGTGACGGTCAATATTGCTTCACAGGTGGCTCACATCCCAACATGCATCTCATTCAACGACTGTTGAGTTCGTGTCACTTATACCTCGGATCATGAGAAGCACTGAGGATAAGGCTGTTCGGCTGGGGGGTACAGTTAGCTTCCAACCGACATGCAGCCCATTAACTCACTTAGTGCTCTCCGACAGCATAGTTGATACAATATGATGGTTTGTTCAACTGTTGTTTTTGTAACTCAGGTTTCGACATCTCTGCTCGATCGCCTTTTCGCTCACTCAAGATACGAGTATGAAGTTTCTCTATCTAAATGGCCCATTTGGGGTGGCGAATGCGGCTCCGACCATGCTTTTTCACATGCTGAAAGCAATGATATGCTGATTCTGGGGTATGCCAATGGCTCGATTAGTCTGGTTCATATCGGCCCCGGAGATAGCCTGTATCGTTTGGGCACGTTCAACACCGATATCTTGTTCAACCTGGTTGATTCCCAGGATGGAGAAGTGAGTTCCATTTATTGCCCGACTTCAGCGAATTCATCCATTTATGTAATCAAGACTCTTATTCTCTTGCTTCTTCGTCTACATTCTTTTTAGCAGTTCTGGCACGTTTCAGCCTTACTTCGTACCGGTCTTTACCATTGCCACTTCAATGAAGCTGTCCTATCATTATGCGTTTTTCCCTGTCAACTGACGACTTTTTCTAACCCTTTTTGTGTGTTACATTTTTGTTAACTTTCCTCTCTTTGTTCTTGCACGTCACGGATGAGGACAAATGGGTTCACCGCACTTCTTCGTTCTGGCAAACACGATTAATCGACCTGAACTTTGCAATGCCACTACGTGTTTTGTATTTTCTTTAGCTTCACCGCTTTCTCTTACTCCTCTAAATGCTGCCTTTTCTCTGTGCAGAAGTGTGGATCTATGGAAGTTGAAACGTGGCCTCCCTTCCGACGTGTCGGCGATTGCGCTTTGGCCCACTCATTGGGTGTGGAGCAAGACTCTAGGCTGGCCGTTACCCAACTCGTCTCAACTGCTTCTGATGACTCATTGACTATCGTTGTCGGTGGTGCTGCCGGACAAGTTAGCTTGTGGACTTTGCATGAACAGAGTGCCTTCGTCAGGATAGGATTTGAGCCCGATATCGCTCGAGTTCCCGCTAATTTGATGGAGCACGGCTTGGAACACACCAAATACATCTGGAAGGGTCTTCCTGCTTTGCGCGTAAGTTGTTTTCACACTGACTGTTTTTCACGATACTTATCGGTTATCTTTTTCTCAGGGAACACGGCGAGTTTCTTGTCTCATAGGGTGAACCTAACTAAATTTAATTCGCTACTGCGTCATCGCTTGTTTTATTTACATCACCTCAACTTTGCGCATTTGCTCAGGGGACATGATTTTTTTCTCTCATGCAGTTCTGTTCAGTTGATCAACTATGATCCGAGCACCGAAGTGCGGTAGATCCAGTTGGCAGGACTCACATCGTAAGAATAACAATAAATAACGCCGGTAGGAGGACAGTGGGGTTGGGTACAAAGAGAATGTAGAGCAACTGCAAGCAAAAAGGAAATGCGTCAGAGTAATAAGGACGAAAGGAAGATTAACAACTAGATAAAAGGAGCCGGGTGCAGGAACACCACTAACTTCGTGACTTCGCCATGTCTGATAGGTAGTCCAACCATTGGTGTATAACGTCCCGAGGCCCCCATCCAGGAAGACGGCATGCACCAACCTGACCAAGTATTTCAGTCAACTTCTTCACGTTTCTATGCCATGTCATGGACTGGCCACCTTGATGTTTCGCCCTACTTGGTGCGGCCACGGATTATAATGCACGCCGAGGAAGCCGATCAACGGGCATTCGGTGGACATGGTCTAGCCAAAGCAGGTGACTAAGAGTTATCAAACACTCGTGAGTCACCAGAAGATTTCTTGCCAAAAACCAACTGGCGGACCTCAGCATTGCTCACCCGGTGTTCACATCAAACGTGAACAATACTTCGCAAGCACCTGTGGTCAAACACAGTCATGCATTTAATGTCTTCTCTACGTACTGGCCAGGTCTCTGACACATACCGTAACACTGGCTTTATCGCAGCGTTGTACACCCTATCTTTCACTGACTCGCTGATATCCCGCTGTCTCCATAGGTCGTTGAGCCTCTGGAAAAACTCCCTGATTCTGTATATGACGATAATGGCCACACTCTTCGCGTCTTTGGTGATATCGAGTCAATGGCTCAAGGTATTTACGGTGTTGGTATCGCCCTCAGCGGACATGTTGAAGTTAATCTACTCGTTTAGGTACCGGTGAATAGCCGCATGTGTGTGGTTCGACTTCGGACCTCTATTGGCGTTAATAAGCATCGTATGAAGACAAGGTGCCTTTTCATCGCCTTCGTTTATGCTCCTACTGACTACAGTTCAGAGGATACCAAAGATTACTACCATCTTTCATCTCTTCTCCGCATGGCGAAGAACACTAACATCGTGATTGTTGCTAATGACTTGAATACCCAAATGCGTCGTCTTTCGGACTGAACAACACCTGGGAGGGCGCTTCGGAGTCAATGCATGCCGAACAGACAATGGTGATCGATTCCTGCAACTGTGCGCCGACCACAATCTTTATGTTAGCGGCACTGCCTTCCAACATAAACGTCCACACCGCGTCACCTGGCGCCCGCTGAATTCTTCAATGAACTGGACCCAAATTGACTATATTGCCATCAGCTACAGGTGGTGCACATCAGTCTAAGATTACCGGTAAATTTGGAGACCATCCCTGGATTCCGACTATGCTCTAATGCGCGCACGCTTGGCGTTCACTCTTCTCGCTTCCAAGAAGTACCCATCTTCTGACCTTCTTATCTGCAACTTGAAATCGCAGTCTGCGGTTCAACAATATCATAACGAACTGGCCCACCACGTATCAGTAATGAATGAACGCTGACTGGAATCGCCTCAAGTGTGCCATGGAGAATGCCTTTGACACTTGCCGTGCGCCCGACTTGAGACGTCGTAACTGTGCATGGATCTCTGAAGCATCGATCAGTTTGATCGAAGCCCGTAAACAGGTTCCGATGGGCACGGACTTCGCCAGTCGCACTGACGATGAACTACGCAGCTTTTCAAACCTACTTTTTTGCTTTGGGCAGTTCTTGTTTCGATTTTCAACCTATGGGGTTTGTATGTGTTATGTCCGAAACGCGTGCAAGAGCGCGACTTCATATTACCTCTGGGGCTGCTAGATTTGGATTTCATTTAGTTTACTATCCGAAGCATTTGCAGTACTGATTGCAACCGGGGGACGTTGGGAGGGTACCCAACCGGAATTAATCCCAACGCGCAGCCACTCATATGCAGGTTGACTTCTATGTTGTAGTTTACGTCTTTCTTTGATGCTTCGCTGTACCTTACTGCGGACAGTGAACTTTGGCCTATGGCTTCTCTCCTTCATTCACGTTGCTGCAGAAATAGGTGTCGCAACCGTTATTTCGAAAACGAACTCTTATTTGGACCGTTTCTCGGAGACTAGGCAATACCTGGGGCGCTTTCCCCGTCATAAACTTCATACCAGTGGCGCAACTCTCAGTCATCACGTCAACTGGCCTTCACTCAACAATGCAATGGTCTGGATTCGCATCGTTCGGACTAGCGTCATCTACCGATAGTGCAACCTTTTCCACTAATGTCAATCGATTTTGCGAACTTACCTATGCTCCGAACACGTCTTGGTACTCATCCGCAAATGGCTTCTTCCATCTTCTGTGACGCGCACGACTTTAAGACTGCTTGTCCATCACTTCGATACAAGTTTCTGCAGTGTCTTTTATTTTGTATAACTGTTCTATAGGCTCTTCTCTGAGCCCTGGCTTCTTTGATCCTATTTCTCCTTTTACTTTTTTAATTTGTCGGTTAGTTTGTATTACTAATGCTCGACTAACACTGCGGCTCTTGGAGCCTAACTGAGATGCAGCGCAAACACGCCTGATCACGCGCACAAGGATTTGCCCGCATCGGTATGCGCTCTCCTCCTCTAATCGGAATTGGACCGGTACACCACTGCCTCGCCTTCATGGAACAACCACTGTTGACAGCCGTTGATAGTTTTTATGTGTAGTTTATTTCTTCTGCTGATCGAATTATTAAGGAATTGCTCTGCAGTTCAGACAAATTCGTACGTCGTTTCAAATGGTTACTCTATCTCGGACTGGTGACGTATTTGGATTATGATCCACTGATCTTTAGTTTGAGCCCGCGTAATTACTGGTGTCCCGATTCGCATGTAGCCGGTGCTCTTTACATGGCTGCAAAGCCCCAAAATCATCTTTCGTATATCTACCAACCAGATTCTTCGACATATGCTGGTTGATGATCAAAAGGACAAGATGTCCGCCTTACAATGCATACCTCATTAGTTCGAGTCTGCATAATTGACCGGGTGACCTTCGCAGTATCCTTAGCCCAAGTGCGACTAGTGGGTTGCGTGGCAGCGACGCGTCCGTATGGAGTATAGGCGTACTTCTGATATCTCCCTGGCCTTGACATACACTTTTGGTACAGCACCTAATTAGGGCGTTACACATGCTAGTGCACCGACTCCCGTAAAATACAGGGTTTGTGCTACCGCAGTCTAGATGGAAGAGGAAGTCAGCGGATGACTTGCTCTCGGTCGGTGCCTCCTGGGTTTGGGTTCGAAAAACCATGAACACGTTCGGTTGGTGACATTTGTTGACATGGCGAAGAGCTAACCTCAGTGTCATTTGTGTTATAGGTATCTTTGTCCCTCCCCTCCAACCGCGATCTCACTACTAGTGCATGATTAAAAAGCAAAGCATGATACTATTTTTTGTATTGTAATGTTACACCGTATCCGGGGTATTTCCCACTTCTAGCTAACGTATAGAATAATGTGGATAATAATCGCGTATGGCACTGTCACGAAGTCAATGGGGCTTTCGCATTCGTCTACCTTTTCTGGTCGGCCGTTGGCCGAGTGGTCTGCGCGCCTGGTTTGCAACCATAAGGTCACCGGTTCGAATCTGCGTAGGGGTGGACGTTCTCGCGGTAGTAGTCGCGCGGCAGCGAAGTGCCGTTACGGCGTACAGCTGTCGATCTTCCCTCTTTATGACCTGGCTACTCCCAGTAAGTTTTTTTTCATCCTCCCTTGCTCTAAGACCGTTGTTGCTGTCGTGTTATCCTTTTTTGATTTGAGTCAGGACAGCTGGATCTGTGCACTGAACTGTTTTAGACCGTAGCCTTTTACCATGAGTTTCATGTCGCATCTACAGTTTGTTTCCTAGCAATGCAAAAATCCCTTGCTAGAACAATACTGTTTTACTTATTTGATCGTTATGATCTGAATGCGTACACATCGACAGCTGGTTGTGCTGACTGTTCCACCCCACCCAATTAGGCTGTTCTCAATCCTATCCGCTCCGTCTCGACCGTGTTGTTTTGCATCGAGCGATCTTTCCCCCTTTCTGGTTTTATTTGCATGTCGAATCGCTATCTCTGCCATCCATCTTTATAGGGTGTAACTATGCCGAGGATGTTATCCCAATGGACATCGTTGAGGCTTAAAATGGGATTGGGTAAAATCGTGCTCATCCATATCCCTCCTAGATGTCGTCATATAGTCTTTTCGTTTACTGTCGATGATTAGATGTGTGGACTCATATGGATGCCTCCTATATCCGTGCGCCACCAAATCATAACCTTTTTATCTGTCACACCAGTCGTCTTCTCTTAGCTCACACTTGTGATATGTTTCGTATGGTTAAAGCTTTATGTTTATACACTTGCCTAAAATGAGATTGCGCACACAACGATTTAATTATTGAATTTATGAATGCTTGGTTCTGCTGCTCTCTCATTTCCATTCCATCTCTCAGACCAGTCCATCTTTTTTTCTGTCATATTCTGATTGCTCTTTTATTTTCCTCTATCTTCTCCGCCCTTATTGCCCCTCACACTTGCTTATTTTCGCCTTACACATTTCGACACAGGCGAAGGTTGTCTTATCCACCACGCCTCTATAGATTAAGGCATTAGCGTTTCATTAGCGCTTTTTCTGGTTCTTCCCCGGGTAACTACAAGCAGTTGTACGCGGGACGGAGCATTACCATGGTGCCCTAATTTGGCCAGGAAACCGAATCGTATTCTCCTGTTCCTGCATCATAATTGAGCAACAGAGTAGATAAGTCTTTGGTTAACTGTATCTTCTCTAATAAATCACATCACGCTTTGCTTTTTGCCTTCATTCTTTGCAGCCTTTTGAGGGCGTCACTCAATCTTTTGGCGCAGCAGCCACTGGCTTCTCTCCATGCGCACTTGTGCAACTGGACCCGCCCGCTCCAATCACTTCCTTGGCTCTTCAGCCTTCTTGGCATCTTCTCGCCATCGGCTCACCCCACGGATTTGCGGTGGTGGATTTGCTGGCAAAATCAACTGTCTATAGCGATTTCTTTTTTGCCAAGTCTGACGGCACCATCGTACATAAGTTGGGTCGACAAACTAACGGTAACTCAATTTCCCCACCCATATACTTTCCTATATCCTATTCGACGGAATTTGCTTTTTCTCATTCTCCCTCTGTTATTTTCATTGTACGTTTTTAACTGTTCAAACAGCCTTCGTCAATCGAGGCAAACAGATAACAGCCACAATGCGCCAATCTTTTCGACGTTTGAAGCACTTACGCACATCCACCACCAACTGTCCCAACAACAAAGCCACTGATGCGGCCCAAGAGGTGCAACCAACTCAGCCTGTCGACGAGTCGACAGATTCAGCAGCACCTGCTGAAACCGGTACTGCCGCCATCGCAGAATCTGCTCCAACTGCCGATTTACCTGCTTCTGCGGTCGCAGACCAACCGGCAGATGAAATAGATGCTGCGCCAGCTGCTCCCCTTGACACAGCCTCCGAGGACGCTCCGGAACCCATTCAGCTCCTTCCGGATGAATTTGGTCCTTCGACTGTTCGCGCACTGTTGTTTGCTGACACGTATGTTGTGTCTCCGGTTTCCGCTACAAATCAGCAGTCCGCAGCTCCACCGACGCGCACACCTTCGTTGTGGGTGGGCACTGCCAATGGGTGTGCTGTAGCACATGGTCTCAATTGGGACGGTGTCAGTGGTCCCGTGACAGTGCAGTTGCACAAAGAGTTGCAACTGCAACACCATGCTCCGGTCATCGGATTGTCTGTGATAGATGCGTTCACTCGGAGTCCAGTTCTCTCAAGTCAGAGAATACGGTACGTATACATCAGTATGCTTTTTCATTATGATACACAATGTCACTCGATTTATCCACCCATTCTAATTTATTTTCAGAACTAGCTTGGAACCTGAGACAAAAGCAGCCGATGAATCCGAACCTAAGCCTGAAGCTTCTGGGCAAGATGTCTCAGTCAACGCAGAGGCAGAGCCAGCTGCTCTCCCAACGCCTGCACCGGAGGTTCACCAGTTGCTGCTGTGTTCTGAAGAGCAGGTCAAATTGTTCCAATTACCTTCTCTGCGAGCCTTGCACAAGCACAAATTTGTTGAGCGGATCCGCTTACCGGGTCATCTTGGTGGGAGCATGAGCTTCTCCGGCCATGGCGCGACGACTGAACATAATTCGAAGCAGGATCGGGACACGAATGACCTCGCGGGAGCTGCGGCCAATGAAGCGACGGCTGAGCCTGCAGTGGTATGACGATCCATTGTTGCCACTTTGTCCATGCCCCTCCTATCAATAAACTCGTGATAGCAGCATACTTGCACCTTTTAGGTTGTTTTGTTGCACCTAGGAGTTCCGGCCCCCAGCGTGAGTATTTCACGATTTCACACCACCACTCGTCGAAATGCGTCCGTTTGGCCTGGTAAAAAATACACCAATCTTAGTTTGTGGGGTTTACTGCCTCGGTCACTTTTTGGCCTATTTCCCGGGAACAATTAGTGGTCACTGCAGCTGCGTTTCTCATACCTCACCCACTTTTCAAACGGCTCACCAACCATCTCTATTTCGAACGGAGAATGGTGAATGTATGGAACAACCTTCCGCAGCACGTAATTGAGGCAAAGTCGGTGTCGGAATTCAAGAAAACCTTGGGCAACCACTTTGCCGATATAAAATATATCGAGCGCACTCCAACATAACGGGTATTTGTACCTGAGTGCTATTTGATGCAGCTACACAGAGATAACTCTTCTTTTTACTTTCAACCAGTAATCCCTTGAACTTGGCTAATGATGCATTTGTTTTCGCCATTTTTCCATTTCTTGTTCTTCTGAACCATATGACTATCTATCCTTCAGGAACTTCTCCGTTTGATCATATTTCGCTACCACTAAAGTCACTGCAACTTAACCTTTCCCAGCACAACTTGTTAGCTCTCTTGTCCCCTGCTTGACTGAGAGACGGTACCACTTTCGGGCGACCCATCATCCAGAAAGGCTCTTGAAAGCACTGAGCAGTGTCCTTCTCGTTGGTGTGCAATCAAGCAGAGTCCCATCATCAGCTATGGGGATCCTTGTTGTCTGTGTTGTTAAACAACAACTTTGACCCTGTCAACATGCCGGTACTTTGTACCGTTTCATCACGATAATATACAGTACATCTCGGCCAACAGGACATTGTCTTTGGCATCACATTGTTGTGTTATCAATCCGGCCTATTCGCATACACAACTTTAGCTAGTTCATCGATTGGTTCCGAATCTCCTGGATTTTTGTCATCTTATTTCCCTTCCCACCTGAACAGAGTGCTGCTCGTGGTCTGATCCACGTTGCATCTCTAGTGACCAGCAGATCCTCTGAGTGTGGATAACGGGCTCCACACACACACTCCCACTCCATTCTCATCACTTGAGGTTTCTTTGATGATTGCCCCATCTTCACTCATATCTGCCATTTTAGTATACTACCCATTATCCTGACTTGTTTCGATCGCCTTGTTTTTCTACAAAGCACGCATCGAAGCCGGTTCTTCCGACCCAGTCCAGTCGTAAGAGGCTTACTGCCTTCGGCATCCAGGCCTTCTCACGAGGGACCGGAGATCAAACAAAGGTGGATTGGAATGTGGTCGTTACGCGTCATGACGGTCAGACCGTCATCCTGTCTTTGCCTAACCTGCGCAAGCTATTCAAAGGTAACTAATAGTTATTTTTGTTTTCTGATTTGTCGTTGACCTAACTTCCCACTTGACCTAGCATCTTTACAACTCATGATGCGCCTCACCTAAGACCGTTTCGAATCCGCATCGGCCGTTTGTTATACGCCTCGCCGTCTGCATCCAGAAATTCCAAAGGCCCGATGGTTAATCATCATGACTCAGGTTTTTATGGGGATACACTCCCGCATTCTCTTAATCATCTGTAGTCGCGATCTCCCAAATCCTTTTTCTCTCAACAACAGTAAGCGCTAGCCTCTTCTGGCACTTTGATTACGTTCACAAACTGTGCTCGAATAAAATTGGTTACCTCCCATTAGTAATCAATGTAGCCAAACCGTTAAGTAGCCCACATTTACTCCCGTTCGTTTAGACGTTGCAGGAGTTCGTAGTGATATCTGGGTGACTTTATCCGCTTATGTTACGTTTCGCCGCACATGATGCTCGTTTCAACGCCACTATTAATGTGGCAATCACATGTTATTTCCATCTGCCTCAACTACGAATTACACTGCACATTTGTACCATAGTCCACAGTACTTGTTGATGAACTACTAGTCCCACACTTTTGTCACACTAAGGCTTATCAGAGGCGTTTTCTATCTCGGCAGTGTATTCATGTCCCAGGGTCTGACCTCATTGCCCACTTTGGTTTACGAATAGCTTAAAGTCACTCATGGATAACTGCTAACCCTTAGGGCTGCTCTCATTTTCTAATAGCGCTAAGTGCCATTTTGCCTATCACATTTATGTCAACTCACCCATGCATCACATTGCTCCACGGACAGAGTAGGATAATCGGGGTAACTGCGGCGTGGAATAAGCTTGGCCTCACTTCCTTGGATATTGCCTCAAACTTTCAAGTATGCCGTTCATCATTTCGAAACAGCAACTCAAATGCATTTGTTACCTTGTCCACCCACTTATCGTTGGATCTTTAATGGCCTGTTGACTACATAAGAGTCAATAGTCATTCACCAGAAAGCGCTCCGAGTGCATCAACATTTGAAATGGTCTTTACCCTTAGAACAAGGCCCCGCTCTATTCGAGGTGCCGCATGACGAAATAACCTGAAGAATCTATAAAGTCTCTTTGTACAGTTTGGCGGTGGGGTCGTTCCTAGTCGACAACAATAAATGTTTGCTTTTCTTTAACCATCGATGTTTGATTAGCAATAAGCAGCTGATTGGATCACTAAGAGCGATGTGGGCGCTTGCCTTACGTTACTTGGATAGCATCGAATCATCTTTTGCATTCGCATCACCCTTGGCTTGCTTGTGTCATCACGTCTACTAACCGTCTGTCACGGCATGGACCATTTGAGGCCGTGCATCCTGTTTAATGAAGTCTCTGGCTAGCCAACTGCTCATATGGCAAACAGGCGGCACACTATGAGATCTGCAGCGGATGTGTGTTATTTTTCCATGTAGGTATCTCGGATTCGATCACGCTAGTGATTGGGTGACTCCACCTGGCTTGACGCTGTCGCGCGGCAGTAGCACTCTTACACCTTGTTACGTCTAGTTGTTTCTTTGCCATACAACCGTTGTTGACTTCTCTCTGGTCCCTTTTCATGTCAGATTTTGTCTTTTCCATTTTTCTTGCCTATGTTGCCTTTTCCCATCGATGTGGGTCATGACAGCTGAGTCCATCACACTTCGGTGCCCGGACCATAGTTGAATAGCTGAACTGATGTGACCCGCTGCCAATCTTGTTCGTTGTAAGGCTCGGGATACCGTGATCAGTAAAACATAGCAGCACTCATCGCAGTGCTTGATACCGAAATTCATTCAGCTACTGATTTGATGACTAAACAATACTTGAACTCCTTTGATCTAACGTAGGGCACACCTTGTCTTGCTGCTTGCTCCCCTCGGTGAGCTATTATCTCCTTAGCTTCATCACTCTCGTAACTCGATTCCTTGGCCCACTATATTTCTATATGCCACCGAAGCACTACGTGCTTCGTGCTTACGTTAAGGCACATTGTCAACTGCTGTACAAGCATGAATTGGCTGATGTGACACTTGCCTGGGCCATTTGTGTCCCTACAGTATGTTTTGTACCCTGCCAGGTTCTGTGAGAGCGGTTCAGGAGTCCAACTTGGTTCGCACCGATTACTTTTTGTCCACACCAGTACTAGCTTCCGTTACACGTTTTCTACGTAGCACATCTGCAGATTAAGATGCCGAAGGGGCTCTTGTGGAATTCTACGATGTATACTTTGTTCATCGTGAAACTTCCGTTTTATCTCTGTCAGCCTTCAACTCATCCGTTCATAAGCAACTGGCATATGTGACTTTATGTTTTACCAAGTTCTGTTCCACAGGCAGTTTATTGGCAGCTCCCTAATATCTCTCTCCTCTTGGCTTGCTTGCATCCCAAACACGTTATATCATTCATTTTCCGTTTTATCTTTCCATTGTCATATCTGTTGCCATTGCCTGCATCCCATCGGCTCACCACAACCGAAGTATCTGCTCACTAGTCACTGTTTCTATTCTTCCACTTCCTAGTCAAAGCTTGTGTCGATTCGATGACTCATCCGGTAACTTGTGTGGCTCCACCTACTTACGCAAATCTGGTGCTTTGGTCATGCGAAAGCCGATTATTGGCAGTTGAATTGTCATTTGTGCCAAGGTTCACTTCGCCTGCCTTGCTAACCCCCGGCACTCCATCACCTTTACCGGCAACCATTGTTCTTCCGGAATGGGCCCGACCTAAGCAATCAATCATTGAAGAACCCGAGGAAAAACCCGTTGAAGTGGCTTTTGGTGACACTGTTGCTACCGAACCAGTCATGGCAAGTTTTAACTTCTCTTTTTCGTGTGGCATTCCTTTATTGGCTTTGCTGGCACTTGAACTTGTCGTTTGCCCATTTTAGGTGGACATCGGCGAACCTGCCCATAACGGAACTAATGATGTCCCAGTAAAGTCAGATACCGTCTGTCTCGAAATACCCGACAAATCTTATCTGCCTGCAGTTTCGCATGCGGGGGATATGACTATTGATTCTATCAAGGAGTATTTAAATGGGTGCGTCTTTTCTCTTGCTGATAAATGACTACCCTTGAACTTATCAGTTTCTTGTCATTCCGTCTCCTGCCAAACGTTACGTAAATGTGTTTGACCCGCTAGCACTCCCAATCACAAGTGCAATGCAGTGACATGTACTTTACACCCATACTGGACAACAGCTTCACTGAGTCCTGTGCTATTGTTTCTGTTTGGCACATTCTTCTTTACGCGGTTACACTTAGATTTCTATTTATCACTGCATTATATACGGTAATAAACTTGAATATCCTCCTGATGGGAAACAAGACGGTATATTTGTAATGACCGGGTTTGATATCATTTTTCACTCATACGGCCACGCCGAAAAAAAGTACAACATTTGCTAGGCAAAGAGGTTGGACGCAATCAGGCCGATTATCTGTGTGCCTCATCATCCTTCGAGCTGCTAAAAACTGATTACTCAAGTTTCCATTTGATTCAGAGCCGTTATCTTTCCTAGTTAGGCGCTAGCGGCATTCATCGTATTTTTCCGAACACTTGTCCACATACAACATACAGTCCTTCAGAGGCTCCAATGCTTTCCAACCCTTCAAGCTCGGTAGATCGTTGATACACCTTGGTTTTTCGCGCGATATTCTCGGCAACCCGCGTAAAGTTTATCGAATGCGGTGGGTCTCTCCTCAGGTTTATACCCTTCGTCCGCTGCTTGGGTCATTTCGTTCATCACGATCAGCTTTTTCTGTTTCAGTGATCTAACTGCTGTTATTGGCTGGCCTATCCGTATCTGCCTGTCCCATCGCGTAACGTTGACAGCTGTAATTACGTCTCAGTAGCTCATTCTTGGAACCGTGGAACGTCCGTTATCTACTCTAGACCACTAGAAGTGCCCCAATTCGTGATTGAGATAATGAATAAACCCCTGCAGCTGCGCCCCGTGCAGAATTTCCCCCAAGTGACCTACTGACGAGTCTAGCACATACGTACGGAACCCCCCATATTTTAAATGCATTTAAATCTTTGGCAAGCAGTGTTGCATAGCTAAATACGCACATCGTTAGAATTCGTGTTGCTTCTCGCCGCTTCGATCACCACGCAAACAGTGACATGGTTTTTAAGCCAAGCGTAGTCTAACCGGCTTAGCTAAATACAACAGACATACGAACTGCGCGTTAAGGATACTAGTATCACCTATGCATGTATAGTATTACACAGCTGTGGTCGGAACCTCAATTTACGCTGCTGCTCTTTTTCTGGTGTTTTGCAAAAACCCGCTGTGTCATCGCATTAGATTATCTATCGCGTTGATCTATGTCATGATCTTCGCGTGCCTCCTGAATGTATTCTCTGTTGCATGTTGTTGGGTTGTATTGCACTTGGTGTGATTAATCCGCAGTTACCTGTCGATTACACGGCTAAATAGCATACAGAAAGCCATCAGCAGTACCATCGTTTCATTGCCACGCAACCGTCACCAGCCGGACGTCGGCTAAGGATACTGCTAGGGTCGCCTGTTTCCCTACCCAAACTCGAACACGCGACATCAGGATTTCAAGGCAAGTTTGTGATCCTTGAGACCACTGCTGACAAAATCTTGAATATTCTCCTGATGGTCTGTAACGGACTTTCGAGGACCTAGTTGCGTTATCTTAGACGAAAGTTATGCATAACCGGAGCACGATCCCTATTCACTCACGTGTTTGGGTGACACGCTGAGTCCTCGAAAACAGACAACGATACTCACACGACCGGGGACTAGACGCGCGAGACTGACGCATACGATCACGCGACCACGCGGTTCCCAACCACCCGCAACAGGAGACGAGAGATGCGGAAGCGGACCTCTGGGAGCTCTTTTACGACCCACAAAGGCTGAATCACAGTTGTCACAATGCTTCATTTTGTGGGTGAAATGAAACACCACATAGGGCTGTTGATTTACGGAAGAACATTGTTCACTTTAGCCCAGTTGCGTCCCGACTCGGAGTGGATGGATCTTGCTACGTTGTGAGTAAGATTTGAACTCTGCGTCTCGTAGCCCATGAACTTGATTTTGTGGCATACTTTTGCGAGGTTGCTTGACGTGTCCGCAACATGGTCCGACTTGAATCGCACCGATTACTTGTCCACAGCAATATCAGCTTCTGTGTTACACCTTTTCTACGTAGCACATCTACCGATTAAGATAATGAAGGGGTTCTTTTGTAATTCTACCGCATAGCATGCGGTAATTGATGAATACATTGCTTCGGTCCAATATTTTCCATCAAGGTCTCGGGATCGACCACGTCGACTGCTGGAAACCGTCTGCTTTAGTGCGACCACACAGTCATTGGCGCTCTTGCATTCTGTCACTTGTTTCCCTACTTTTTTGTCTTTCTACCTATTGTTTCAGCCTCTTTGATCCCGTCCGGTTTGCTTGTACTCCTTTCCTTCTCCCATTTCTCATTGCTAGTTTCCACCATTTTGGTGGCACTAGCCAGGACAACTGAGTGCATCACATTTCTGTACTGGTATTCTCTTCTTACTGTTATTGAATAAGATCGTGCAAGCTTTGTACGTTCCGACGAATTTTTTATAAACTCATAGTACTCCCGCATCGAGCGGTCCATTTATCACCCCAATTGAAATGTTTGTTTGCTTATTTTCCTGGATACCCGTATCTTAGCTTAGCTTAGCTTTCTTTGTGTTTGATGTAGTTTTGCTAGAGTAGCTGTCTTTCGTAAACTGTTCAAAGTTGGACTTTGGAATACGCGCCGTGTGATCGGATTATGGCACGCAGTATTGGGAACGAGCTTCGGCTACAGTCCTATTGATCGGAATGACCGAGATCTATCTCTTGCACCCAACAAGTACTAGCAGTTCCAACGAGCGGTTTATTCCAGTCTGGCCGCGCAACGATTATCGAATCACTTAGGTGTGGTCATCCCAGTCGACTTCACGCATATCGCCGCGATGGCGATCACCAATAATAAAGAATGCCGAGTATTTTCAGGACGTAAACTGAGGTCGAAACAAAGACTGCGTGTCCCAATCGAACCATCCAGTGGGCACTCAAAAGTCCAAGTATTGCCCACGGATCTCAGTTTCCTAGTGAACAAAGCGTCAGTTGTTGACTGTTAGGCCTTGAGTCCCAGTTCCTTTTATCTCTACCTGGTGAGTCCAAACAAGGATGAAACCGGTCACCGCATGTAGAATTGAAAGCGAGAAACACCAAAACCTTTCCATTTCAACTGTTGCTATTGTGTAACTCAAAAATGCGGACTCCCCGCGTTGACGATATTTGGGTCCACTTACTCGCGGTAGTTTTCGCCTATGTGACCGCTCACCTTTGTGAGAACATTCTCTGCTCAATACAGAAGTTTCCCTCTCTGCGTTTGCTTATGCGAATTCTAACTGCTGATAACTTTGATGTACTCATTCCGCCTGTCCTACTTTGTTTCTTCACAATCGTGAAAACCATTCTCATCTGGGTGTGCTAGTTACTAAAATTACCTGGAATTGAGCGTGATCCCTAAGCGTCACTTTATCTTCAAAATGTCCAAAATGGGTCTGCTCGAGGAGCTACGTCCCACAGGATCGTCCACACGGTTGATTTGAAACCCTAAGCATAGTGAGGCCTAGGAACCGGTGATGCCCTTATGTTTCTCCTCTTACCTTAGGGTGCCAGTTTCCCGATTCTGCGGTTCGCGTCAATTCTGTCTTCATATTTTCTGTTTCCCGGCAGTGATGGTGCGGTAACTGTAAAAACAGTCGAAACCACTTCAGAGAAACGGACGCTCGTTGACGGAGGCCACGTAACTATCACGTTACGCGAGACCGAGGAGGTGGATGGAAAAATCACGAAGGATGATTTGTTGAAATTCTCAACTGATGAACCTCCCTCTGTGATGGCTCCCGGTTAGTGATCGACCTTTGCTCGCAGATTTTTCCACTGCAGGTTATCATCGCTATTTTTAGTTGGGTTTTCCCGGCACTCCTGATAAGTCCCAGTATGCTCATACTGTTTTTGTATGATTTGGACTTGACCAATTTTTGGCCGCTCGGTACAGTACCACCTTGCTGCCTCAACGCCTTTAGCCAATTTGTTTGCTACACATTAGTAGTTCCGACGCTGCCTTTTCAGTATGTGTCTGCCTTCTTTTATTTTCCAGGAGTTGCGTGATGTACTCTGAAGTCCTTCGCGCCACACAGATATCCGAAGAATGTCGTCATCGGTGCTCCTTCTCTCCTAAATTTCACATGACCGCTTCTTTTTGACTTATTTTATTGACGTAATATGTGTTCCCAATCACGTCCTAATTTGTCTCCTTGTCAATCACTGCTGCCTACCTACATTCACCCATCGCACTTTATCTGGCCAGCCTTTTATTTTGTTCTTTTAACGCGCAAACATGCGTCTTTGTTGTTCCACTAACCATTCGTATGTCTTCATTTCCATTTATTATCGCCGGTTTCAGAGTTACTTTTTCATTTATTTTACATCTTTGTTTTCCTTCCGTTGCGCGCAACTCCTCCTGCCACCACTTTTTGCTTTGTGCCTTGTGTTTTGCCTTCGTGTTTTCATTATCGACGCTTTTCGCGTTCACCGTCACCATCTCAGATATCTTGGTTGCTTATGAATTCTAACACTTGATCACTCGACTCGTCGATCTCTCATCACTGCCACTTATCCCCCTAACCCAGTTGACATCTGATGACCAACTTTGTGTAAAAATACATGCGTCATTGTACTTCCCTCGCACATGGCACACCGTTCCTTATTTCCGTTGCTGATTGTGTTGTTTAAGCTTCCATTCGCTTGTGACACCAGCACCGCCGTCTAATTGTTGTGGGCTGCTCGTTACATTTCACAATCGGTGCTGTCTCCCCCTTCTGTATCGAAATCATTCTTTGTTATACTCCCTATGTCAATTATGCAAATTTTACTCTTTGTCTCGATAGCTCCCGTTTTTATTTTCACTGTAATACTGCCGTATTTTATTTTTCCACAGATTTGGAGCTAAGGGTTTGGGCGAGCAATGCTTTTGTGTATATGTTATTGTGCTTGACACTGGCCCGGTCTACTTTATTGTAGTGTCTTGAGTCATGTATCTAATGCTTATCTCACCATCGTTACACACGTTAGCTAGAGGTGGAAAACACCTCATCTACTGTGCCACATCCGTTGCTGTTCACTCTATGCCAGGCGGCTACCAAAATATTCTCTTCTGCGCGCTCAATCCATGCATTGGGTGGTTTTGTGCTCACACAGCTACTTGGTTCGCGGACAGCCTGCAAAAGGAGTTGTGTTTCTTACTGATCCTCACTGGCAGGCCAATGGACCTAGACTCCCGACCTTGATTATTACCAACTCGTACATCGAAATAGACAATCACACTGGATACGTTTCATTGTCCTTACGTATAGGACTAACAGTAGGCCACTACCAGGTTGATAGCATTTCCGTAGTGCAGTGGGCGGTCATTCCATCAAATTATGGATCAACGTTGGTGTATGTTTATCTTCGGGGTCCTAACTGATAGAATTGAACATGATTCAGCCGTTTTCATGAGCCATTCGATCCTCTGGAATTCCTGATCTGACATGATGCTCTTTATTGGCTTTTGCTTCTTATTGTAGACATTGAAATCGGTTTTCCGTCATACGAATAAACCCCCAAACTATTCTGGTAGGCGGCTACTGAATGCGATACTGATTGGCATCCGGCTAGTTCGTTTCATCCATCATTTCTGGCGCCCTATGTGACCCGGATTGGTGTGCTGTTTGCTGGACTTACCGAGTTCCCAGCCTAGGACCTGGGAGCGTCACTTAGATTTGCCGAGTGGGTACTCTGGCATACACTGAGCCTCAATCTGTACTTTTAACTTGACATGCTTCCGCTACTCCGTCGTCATTCACCGGAGACCCTGATGTCACTCTTATGAGCTGCATGCACATTATGTTGCCGGTCTGTTATTGAATATCTGCGTCCTTATATGTAACTATTCGCGCTCCAGGCAAAACCCGCTCAAAACATCTAAGCTACTCTTGTCCGGACGTCTTTTTTAGACTAATCGTCCTCATTGATTCATTTCTCCCTGTTGTTTCACACGAAGTCGTCCTTTACTCAGACGGACCACATGGTGGCAACTGAGGAAACAGGGAATTTGGCTCATAGGCACTGTTTACAAGATTGGGTCCACTCTGGAGCTTTCGGTCGATACACTCGACCTAAGTGTACGATTTCCGTTCTTCCACTGGATTTTCACGAAGTTCGGTGAGCGCGAGTACTCATTTCGCAATTCCTGGTCTTATGCTTTAGAGGCACAACGCTGGAAACTTCGAATCTGCGACCTACTTGTTATCACCGACCACTCCTTGACCTGCTTTGTGTTTACGAAATGTCGCATTTTGCAGCCATATCTGGAAAATAGCGCCTGTCCATCGAACCTCACGCGGCACTTCTTGCTTCCACAATTGCACTGAACCACTGCTGGTGTCTCATCACCGCAGCTGAGTTCCAGAATTGACTGTGATACCCTTACTTACCTGTGAAATCGCGTATTGACACTGGTGAGGTCTACAGCGTAACAACACATTGTCATCATTGTGTCTTTACACAGGCTGCTTGGTCAAAGCTCGAAAACACCTTGATTCGCAATATCAACCACTCACGGACATTACAGATGGTCATTACTTCCATCTGAACCCCATACCGAACTCAGTACGTTATACTTTCGGCTACCAAGAAATAGCCGGTGGTGTGTGACAATCAGCAATCTGCGTTGATATTTCGCTGCCGTATAACCTTAGTCAATGAACGGAGACGAAGCTGTAGACAGCCCACGGAGCCCAAATTCAATTAGGGACCGACCTAGCACAAGATACTTAGTTCGATCAAACCTTCTCGAACCAGTAAACAAGCAATATTCTCGTTATCGATCACTCCTGAAAGTAGCAAAGGGTGTCCTGTTTTTTTTATGATTGCAGACCGCGTGACCAGTTTTACTCGTGTTTGCTTCAATCCTATGTGAACTTGGCTATATTTCGTCCGGAACCCATGAGTGGAAGGGCAGTCGGGGATCTGGTTCTTTTGCAAGTGCTTGCCTTTGTTGTTTTTAAGCTAGCCGGAGACACGGGTACTCTACGAAACCAGTAGTCGGTGGTGACTGTTTACCAGCCCATTTATTTAATGGATTGATAAAAGCTCAGTTGGAAATGGACTCAGAATGCTCACTGTGCATATTCGGATAACGATTCCTCGAAACTCACTGCGAGATCGACAGTTGTCTTACCACTCTATTCAAGAAGGAAAGCACTTTGCGCGCCCCGAAGAGTGAATATTCATCTGTTACACGCGTTTTCGAAGTTGTAAAAATAGTATAACTTATAACATTGTATGCATAAGTGCGACGTGCGCACTGAAGATCAGGCCCTAACCCACTCAAGTGGATGGACACACACCAAGCTCATCGTGTCTTCAGTGAATGCATGTCGAGATGTCCTTTCAGTTGTCAGTTATCCAATCTTCTGTCCAAACTTATTTTCGATACCTAGGGTTCTCGGTCTTATAGAGCACACGCTGTCGTACATTACTAACGGTGGCTACTACGTATCACTAAGTAGGTTACTAAATGGTATGGACATCAATGTGGTTACAGTGTTAGTTCCAGGACGACTGAGGTCTGGTTCCACAATAAGCGCGTCAACTATGGAATTACGGATGAGTGGTAAGCCCTTGTACAGGCTTGTTTGGTTGGGGAACTTGATACACAGTTCAGCATGAAGGGGTGACTTGCATCGGTGAGTATTTTTGAAACGAACCTTTTGCGTGAACTGGTATGAATAGACACAATGATGCCAGCAAAGCTCGGGTTTGGAATGCCACTGCATCAAGGCAGTTGCATCTGTTGGGGTTTTATAGGAAAATGCGGTTGCGTATTATTACGTAATTAACAACCCAACAAATAATAATGAAAACTCCGAGATTAGGTAGGCAAATAGATAGTCAAAAGTGACAATAGTTTTACACAATTTAACACTGTATCACGGTAGGGCACAAGGCACTGTTCGATCGTGTCGCATGTAGTCAGCCCCGTTGTCGAGTCATCGGCCGTGGTGCACGTGATGCTTATGCTGTGTGTCTTTTTCAAGTCTCACATGAGTCAATAAGGTCCAGTGACCTTGTATCGGCCAAGCTTGCACGTCCCGTCTGCGCGTGCGTGCGGATGCTACACATCCATGATTTTGCAGCGCTACCTTAGAAACCAGGGAATATAACGGGAGCACTAGGTCCAGTGGAGCAAAACACAAGCGGTGATAAATCGCGGTGGAGGATTTCGAATGAGCAGCGTTGAAGGAAAGCCCCACTTTTCGTGAAAACTTCCTTCGCATGCAGTGACCAAGAAAGATCATGGATGAGTGTGACACCTATACACTTCACTGGCACGTTGGAGTGCAAGGTCTCACCATCTATGCGAAGTACAGGGCAATTCATGAGACGTTGCTAATAACGACGGCCTTTGTGTAGGGGAAAAAGAACATAATTGTATTGTATTAAGCGATAAAAAAATGAGCTCTGGACCACAACGCAAGATTGTCCAGCTAGGCTTGTAATTTGGTTGATGATTCCGTAGTCGGGTGTTTGGTACCCAAGACTACATCGTCTGTATATTTCAGCAATATCGCTTCTCAGGGGCACGTGGTAAAGGTGCTTGAAGACACTACAGCTTCTTGAGAAACTCCGCTGGCTGTGGTGCGTAGCGCGAAACTTTTACGCCCAAGTCGAGTAAACAGCACATCCAGTGAAATAGTCCCTCAACAGGTGGACGGTACAAGATTGAATTCCGGCATCATGTACGTCTCTCAGAAGTAGCTCACGGTTTACACCTCCGAAAACATTACTGTAATCGAGAAAACGTATTCGCCCGGATTTGATCTTGTTGTCTAGTGATGCCAGCACTGAATGTACACTAAAGGCTAATGCGTCTTGCATAGACTTCAAACTACGATGAAGCGAATCGTCTGCATGGGTTTGAGTCCTCATTTTTTCACGTGTAATATCGAATATCTTCAGGTTTACTGAAGTGCAAGCAATCGGCCGGTATTTATTTGAACCCTACTTCGGCACTGCTGTAACGCTAACACCTCCGGCAGTCGGCAATTTTATATTCATGCACAGCG